TTTAAGTGCACTAAAGCCAGTAGAAGGCTGAGTTGTAAGGGAAACGCTTTAGTAAGCAGCATTTTCTTAGAACAATGCTTTCTGATGGCATCACCTTCAGCAAACAGCTTGAAGACTCTGCCCTGTGGATGGCTTTTGCTTAATGCTGAGAAATAAATTATTCTCCTTCTCCAGCAGATCTGCTTTTAAACAGTCTCTAAACACAGAAGGCCTTCCTCTTGGAGGTGGATCAGACGGCCCACGGAGACCCTCGTATTCCCGGCACAGATCCTGGAAATAGAACATATGGGAGCTAAAGGCTCAGCTGGGACATGTGCATCTGCATGTACACATGAGGGTTAGCTGGGCTTGACAATGTGTAATGCATTTGTCATGCCAGCCAGGCCAAGCAGGCATGTAGGGCCCTTTCTTCTTAATAGAGCTCCACGCAGTAATTCGATAATACAGATGGGAGCTGTCAAGCTTTTCTGGAAAAAGACTGTGAGGAGGACTGGAACACACAGAGGAAGACAAAGAAATGCAATGCCCTCTGTGAATCACCGTTTTTCCATTAAGAGTGTAAAATTGAGGTTAATAGGAAGATGTTTAGGTGGATGTTTTATTGTCTGCACATATAGGAAAGAGATGCATTTCTTTTGAAGACTATTCAGATATCTCTGAGAGCAAAGCGGGCTCTTGTAATTACCAACATTTGATCAAACATGAATCTGCCTGAGCCGAGCTGACCTGCTTTTTGTACCCAACAACTAAAGCTCACATTGAAAATGAAAGAAAATAAACCATAATCGGAATCTGAAAGCTCTGAACTGCTGTGTTTCTTTCTTGTACTATTTAAGAAATAAATATCAACCAAATCCGTACTGAACATACTCTGGGGATAAACACTGTCATCATCTGCACTCATAAGCTATTGTGGAGTATATTTAGGTTTATTCCCTAAAGGTTGTCCTAGTTTCCATATGTGTAAACGTGCTTTGTGATGTATAAGATCAGCTTTGCACCATATGTTTCATGTTTAGAAGTCTCCCACATGCATTTTGCATAATTCTCCGGTTAACATGTATCAGAGGAGGGATGCTGAATCTCTATAATCCAATAATTTTCTCTAAATTGTTTCCTAGACAATCCAAAATCTATCAATGGTGCATATCTGTGTTTTAGAGCTGGCTGCATTTCCGGGGGTTTCCAAGCACATGCTTAAATGCATCCAAGTTGCAGAATAAGATTGTGGCCCCTTAAATATTAGTATTTTTATATCAACAAACAAGTTTAAGGGTCAGGAATAAAGATACAAAGATATATCTAAAGCAGCATCTAAAGCTTTCGGCATCTCTGTACTTTGTTCAATCTGTCATCTCAAAAAAAGAGCAGATTTTAAACGGTTAGATTAGACGAGGGTTTTCTTTTCTGCATTGAATTCAAACTGTACATTTTGCATTTCATTAAAGAGAAAAGACCACATTTTAATGGTGCATTGTCCAGTCAGTGGAGCAGAACATTCAGCTGGAATTGAACCAACAACTCCCAGCAAGCCTCCACCAACAGACCCCTGGGGTTTAAGTGAGCTGGTGTGTGCATGCATTTCAGCTTCACTAGTTGGAACCTCACATCAGAGACAAATATTACAGGACTCTGTTTAAAAAAGTATATATATAATAAAATCCTGAGGCTATTACCGACACAGAGCTACTGAAATGACACCAGTACAGGTTATTAATACATCATTTTGCTCATTCTGTGACATGCAATCTGCCATCTTGTTTGTGCTGACGGCACTGCTACATATAAGCTTGGGTACACTCAAAGGACTGCAGTCTGAGACGATGTCTACAAACAAGTAAATAGAAAAAAGAGGAAGTTGCGCCTCAAGACTCAAATTAATAGATAAGCTTTTGGTGACAGTTTTACGAATTTGCCAGCCTGTGGGCCGATTGATTTGTTAAAGAAACCTCAGGGCCAGAAGTTTCTATCAAACCTTTCCTGACTCTCACAATTACATGACAGCTTGATCCCAGACGGTTTCATTCCAGGTGTCTGGCTGATAAAGGGTTAGATTGGAAATCAATCGGTTACGATCGTGATAGCCCAGTGCTCGTCTCTTTTCAGTTATGTTCTTAAAATATGAATCTAAATGACTGCTTGTGTTCCAGGATACATTTTTTTTTTTTGTTTACTGATGGGGGAAATATTTGGTTTCAGACTCAATAATCCTCACTTCTTTAAAGCTCTTCTACTTTCTTATAAGGACTTAGGGAAGCTGATCAGTTTGCGAGATTGGTTAATATTTTTGCATATGACAAACACAATCCCATCAACCTCATTAAAGCCAGATGTCAGTCCATCATAGAAGGAAATAAAAGACCAGCAAAGATGCTACCTCTACAAGGAAAACTAGCTAAGGGCTAACTTCTTGTCTTGCTACAAATGTTGAAATTTCTTTAAAAAATTTGTCAGTTTAAGTTTGAAGAACTGCAGTGCGTTTTATCAGATATGAAGTCATGCAAATAAAGTGTGTGCATTATTTAAAGTATGTCACTCTATTATTCAGTGACTCGCAAAAGTGTATGTACACCCTTGCTTCAATGCCTGTATGGGTTGTGATTTTTTTACTTTGATTGCGGTCTATCATGCTAAATCTTGAATTCTTCCCTCTTACAAAGGTTTTCCAACTCTGATGTGAGGAATTTTATTGTCCGGATATCTTTTACGACTTCAGCTAGACCTTTATACTACATGAATTGTCTTTTAAATCATCCTGTATTTGATATGTTTTTATAACTCTGGAAATATTTGTCTCCTTATGACTGAATCGTTGGTACTGTAGGCTATGATGCTTATCTTAACCATTTCTATTCTTCTGCAAACTCTTGCCTAAGCTGATAAATGCCAATTTGAGTTTAAGATCTACACAAAAGTCAAATTTTTTTATATATGAATTCACCATATTTGATATGATTGTGAACGAACACGGCTCAAAGGAACGCCAACTTCAAATATTAGAAAATATTTGTTTGAAATGTTTTTTTTTTTTTTTTTACTATCTGTGTTTGCCACCCTACAGTATGTTTGTTGGGATGAAGGGTATAAACTTCACTATGAGCACCTTAAATTCACCTTATTTCCTTTTCCAATCCTGACACTCGTCAAATCACATCAAGTTTAACTTTCAGTAATCAATCTGAACACCTCCAAGCGGTCATAAGGCAAGCTCTACGAAAATAGAAAAAAAAAAATGTCTGCTACTTTGTGGCAAGCATGCTACTTTTGTGCCTTTAGAATGAAATCTGAGAAATGCATACATTTTTAGCAGATTTGCAGAGTGAAATCTGTATGTATAATCAAGTCGGGACTGTCAAGCCGCAGAATTTGATTTGTCAAAGAAATCTGGTGCAGCCTGCCAGGTAGTGAAAGGCAATAATGAGGCAAATTATATCCATAATTTTGTATCAACTGCAATTTAATTAAGGTTACATATTAATATGGCTGGTGTATCATTGTATTTCCCCATCCTTTTGCAGCATTAACACATGGTACAATTGTAGAACCAGAATGGCGGTTATGTTATACATTGAACAACATTAGGCCTGGAGTTACAGGACCCACCTCATGCCATTCTCTAGATACTAAATAAAAGATAGGACTGCTTTGTTTCAGAATCAGATGAGGACAGACCAGTATGTATGGGTTAAACAGAAAACCCTGGAATAATGCATAAATCATGGTGAATTTTTCATGAAGACAGAAGCTGTCCCTCCATTCAGAAATCTTCTTCTGTCCTAACATCGGCTTGTTTCCTACTGCTCCTATCAAATTTCATCTTCAGAATAAACAAGTCAAATGCTGGTGACTAAATTTATCCATGATCCTAGGAACCGAATGGAAATGACATTACCTGCCATGGCAACTCTGGAAGTGCTTCAGGAATCGGTGTTACGTCTCTGATTTCTGAAGTGTAAATCTTTCTTCTCTGGGTAGATTGATGCCTTTGTCGTCCTCCAAAAGGAAATAAACTGGTTTTATTAGCCAAGGTGACACTGAATGATGAAAGTGTGTTTTTTTTGTTTTTTTTACTCGATTATTTATGCTTTTGTATTTTGGTTACATAAAAGCCTCAGGCCAGAAAGACGGACTGCTATACATCACAATGCCTCATAAAAATATTCATGTTTTATCCCCCTCTATTAAACAAAAATGCTGCCCAATCTCACTTTGTATGTCTAAATAATTATAATATATTTATGTCTGGACTTGTACTGGGGCCAATCTGCTACACATAAATACTCCAATCTAAACCATCCAGTCCTAATTTTAACTGTATTTTATGTTCTGCTCTAAGCTTAATTTTACCACAGTCTCAAGTGGTTTGCAATGGTTTCCCTGTTTCATTTTGATTGTCCTTTATTTCCTGCCTTTATCTAGCCACCAGCAGTGGAAAAGCATCCCCACAGCATGATGCTGCTCCTACTGTACCATGTTTCAGTATAGGGGGTTGTATGTTTACTATGCTCTGCAGTTTTAATTTCTTCCATAATTTTCCATGTAGGTTGACTTTTGTTATGACTACAGCTCAGTTATTCATATATTTACTTTATCCCCTGTATGGTTTTAGCTGCCTTTTTAGAGAAGATTCTTTTATGGTGGTGTTTTGCATTGGTTTTATTTCTTGATGTTTTGCTTTTATTGAAGTCTGATCAAATGGTCACAATGCCAGCAGATTCCAGATTTCCAGAATTACCTTTGACCTGTTGGCTGCTCCTCCCAATAATGCTCTCCTCTTCTGGCCTGTCTTTGTAGGCAGTCAGCCAAATTTTGGACATGGGCCTCCTTTACATGTTCAGTTTTATTAAAGTTGGAAGAAATATATATATTTCCCAAAATTTCAATAAGATGCAATCAGCTTTCTAGCTGTTAAGTTACTAAATGTGGAATAGTGAAAGGTTTTTTTCTGTTTGCAAGGCTCTGCACTGGATGCTCATATTCCCTCCCTCTGTCTGTTGCAGAGAAACCGACACTCATTGATGTGGGCATATACGTCAACAGCATTGGGCCCGTGTCATCCATCGATATGGTGAGTTGGGTCTTATCCTTCTCCCTCATTGCCTCCTCCATCCGCACACCCACAGGTTTGTCTGTAACCTGACACCAGAGTATCATCAAACATGAGCACTGTCATTTCTCATGCTGCATTTGGAGGTCATCCGTATCGCCACAGATGTTTTTGTCGCAGTGTGAGCCAAGAAAGACAGGTGTGGGTTGCTGTTTTCTTTTTTTTTTTTTTTTTGCTTGATCAGCTATGATCAAGACAGGAAGATGGTAAAAAAAACCAACCAGTTTTAATCCTTCTACTGATAAATGACCATTTTTAGTACTTGCATCTTTAAGTCATAAGAATACAAAGAGCATGAAGTTTACATTGGAGAATAAGGTTCTTTAGCAAAATGATTGGGATGAAGGAATGGAGGCATTGACAAAATGAAATGCTGAAAGCATAATTTGCAGAGGAAAAAAGCTGGTGTTTAAATCATTAGCAGTTTGTTCAACAGCCTTTCATAGCTGATTATGCAAAAATCTGTTCAGTCACTCTCAAAACATTAAAGTACGATTTTTATCGTCCACATCAGGATAATTCCTTCTCTGAACATAAATGTGTGGTTTTGCACAAATTGGCTTAGCAAGGCTGTGTGAGGAAATATCCAGATGTTAAATTGTTGCTATTACTTGGCCACTTAAAATGAATTGAAAACTTGAGATCTTTTCAAGTCTGGATGGGCTTTAAACTCATAAAATATTAGATATGTACTTTTTAGAGTAAAGGGCTCAATTATTTAAGATTTTATGTTTGTTATAAAATGGGAATCGGGTTTAGCAAGCAATGCTATAAACATTTGTGAACCGACATGCCTATTTATTCCACCACATTACTGTGATGGGATGCCAAGTGTCCAGTTGTGAGTTTACTTTCTTCCAAATATTCCACTGTCAACTGTCAGTCCTACTATAACAAACGATTGTACACAATGGATATGATTGGGAAGGACAGTGACTGAACCTTGGGGTGATGTGCCACGTAAACTGAGTTCAGAGGACACCAACTGTCTGCAGAGTCTATTGCTAGAGACCTAGCTGCAAGTAGCTTTCAGATTACTTCAACAGTGTGTAGAGAGTTTCCATGCCCAACCACCTGTGCTCAAGCATCACATGACCAGGTGCATTGCAAAGACAGTGGTGTATAGCATGCGATGACAAGGCTGTCGAGAAGGGAAGCCACATTTTCTAGATTGATGAATAGAGTTTCTCCATCCATGGATCTGATGGAGTAACCTTGATTTGGCTGTTGTCACGAGTAGAGTAACTAACTGAATGAACTGGGCCAAGTGTAAAGCCTGGGGGGTTATTTTCTGGGCTTATTCTAATGGAATAAATCTATTAACTCTGGTTGAAATTAGTACTTTTTCTTTCTTTTTACTCTCTTATGCCAACATGGGGAGATTTATTTGCACAAATAAATAGTTGTCTTGTCAACAAATGAATCTCAGAATCTCTGATGCATTGTACAATATCACTCGCTTTTCCTTTTCCAAATTGTACTTATGTATTATAGCCAGTAAGCTTGTTTTAAACATCCCACTGTTCCAGACACCCTCCTTTTTCCATTGGAATTTGCAACAGATTAAAATGACCAGGCTCCAAGTGATTAGTTGTTTACCCTCACTGCACCCCACACACATTAATAGTCGGTTGGCTGGTTAAACTTCAGCTACAACCATTCTTTGATCTTATCAAGGCCAGCTGTAGTGCTTGCATGCCATTCCGCCTTTGTCCAAAACAATTCCTCATTCTTGAAAATTAAATCCTACATGCGTAATCACTCATAACAGTTTCACAGTAAATTCCACAGTGCTAAGATGGAGTATGAAAGTACATTGACTCTTTTAGAGTTATTACAACAACTAGAGTAAAATGTACACTACTTAAAGTTCTAATTTAACACCCGAGTGGGACCAAATGCACTCTTAAAGTGTAACTTTAACACTGCAAAGTTTACCATGTAGATGGAAATAATCTCTATCAAAATTTTTGATGAGATGAGGTTGATCATGAAGCTCCAGTAAAAGGACTTTTGAAAGCTATAAGAGATGTTGGACATGTCCATTTTACTAACTTTGTTGGAACAATATTGAGATGGCCACATCTTCCAATGCAACTGTACAGCAGTGTGCAAAGCAAGGTTCAGAAAGACAAGACTGAGAGTATTTAGTTTGGATGAATATGAGTTGCCTCCTGAGTTCTGACCTCAGCCTGGTAGAACATCTTTGAGGGGACCTGGAGAGGAGAGTGAGAGCCAGGCCTTTTCATCCAACATTGGTCTATGGCCTTACAAATGCCATAGACCAGGGGTCACTAATAGGCAGAACCCGGTCCGGATCCAGACAGAGGTGATGTCTCATGTGGACCAAAACTGATAACTGATGACCTGACATTAATTAATATAACTGAAACTATTGAGATACAGATGGCACGACACAGTCTCCTTTGTTAAAAACTGAATCAACTACAATTTAACAGTAGAATTCATAGTTACTTTGCCAATTCAGTTCAATTCAGTTTATTTATATAGCGCCAAATTCACAACACATGTCATCTCAAGGCACTTTACAGTTCAACCAGATCATACAGTCAAATTGATACAAAGTTTTCTATCTAAGGACACTTAGATTCTGCCAGATTTGCAGAATCAATGTGTCACAGAAATAGAACCAGTGTTACGACATGAAGGTGGCTATATTATTCAAGACAAGCCAACACATCATACTGCAAACCTAAAGAAATTATTTTAAAGATGAGAGACATTCAATTGTCTCATAAGGGTTACAAAGTTAGTTTTGTGGCTTTGAAATTCTAGCAAAACGCAATGAGAGCCATTATATGCAAATGGAGAAGAGACCCAACAATGGTCAACCATCGTGGAAGCACAATGACCAGAAGCTCACCAAAAGATTTAAAGGGATCCAGTAAAAGTAAGATGCAATTGGGATGTATTTTGCCTTAAAGAGGCCAGTGAGGCTCAGATTTAATTTAATATACCTAAATTAAATATCCAGCATTAAGGAGTGGGCAACAACTGATTCACAGCAATGTAAAAGATAGTTAGTTATTGGAAGGTAAATCGTCTTTGCCTCATTCTAGCAATAACTTACATATTCCCCATAACGAGAGAAATATTTAGAGTTTAGAACAGCTTCCAAGATTTTTCGATTTCCAATGTTATGTTAGGAAATAGAAAATCTTGCAGCATGACTTTGTGCAAGATCATACAGCCAGCATTCTGTGAGGAGAGTGTAAAGTAAAAATCTTTAAAGACCAGTTTTTGGAGAACTGCAGGAAAGGTTGGCATCTTTGGGTCACACCCTCCATATAAACATCTAAAGGTGCATTTTGGCTAAAAGCCAGAATGTTTGTTTATATTTTCATCATCTGGCTTGAAATGGAGCAATTTGTGTCAAGTGCGTCAGACTATGACTCATCAGGTCACTATCTGATGCGACTGTTGTTCATAGATGCCTTGTTTGCCCATTGAGAAAAGTAAGATATCATCATTTGTTTTTAACTGAAGAAAATTCACTATAAAAGATGGATATGTGTGAAATGTCTTATGCCTAATGAGAAGTATGGCAGATGATCTGTGATGCTGTTTGTGTCGCTTCTCTCTGTGTTATGAGAACTTACCCTTGAAGTACCAGGTGTTTTAAACCCAGATTGAAATAAAAGATCTCCTTTTATCTATGTTCAAACCTTGTGAAATGTTGCAGGCAAGGACTTTGTGGTGTCATATGGAAAGTATTGTGATAAAGTATTACCAGAATTTCCATAAAGTATGTTTTAGCCAACCATATGAAGTCTGACTTCAAACTTAAACATGTCCAAGCTGGAGAAGTTGTTATAAAGAATAATTTCTGAGGGACTTGAGTTGTCCTCATAAAGTGTGTACTCTTACTTGCAGTTCATTAACTTGATTTTCTTCCCAATACTCTGAAAAGCCAGCAGACTTTCTGATGGACACTAAAATCTGCAGTCACTGTAGATCTAGGTTTCTGGACCCCCTATTATGATTACTGATCCGCTGCAGAAAATGGCCTCTTTTCCACTCTTCTCTTTTTCTCCGCTGCCCCGCTTGACAGGGTTTGTGCTTCTCGTTCGGAACAAGCGCAGCTGATTATTGAAGCACTAAAAACTGAGGCAGCAAACACAAGATGAACCTTTGTCAGAAAATTCCTCTGTCGCTTGACTCTGATACCAAAGAGAAGAATGTAGCCCGAACATAATAAAAGATGATGCAAAAGTGAAACCTAACTGCTCCTCTGTTTACTCCAGGACAGGAGGTCATCTCCGCCAGCAACAGAAACCCTACATGACTCCTCATATAACTGCAATAACCAGTTTTCCCTTTGGGTTTAATAACATATGATTCAGTTCAATAAAGCTGTGAAGAATATTACATCCTGCGACTGCATCATTTAAAAAATGTTTGTATTTATTTCACTTCAATTTAAGCTGCCTTTGCAAGATGGGTTATTATGTTTGAAGTCTGAGTGGGTTACTTGTAGTTTAAGAACCCTCAAATGTTGATAACCAACTAATCTAAAGAGTCTCATGCTACTTCTAAATTGTTTTGATGAATAGCAATTGAAAAATTTAAGCAGCCTTTTGTAAAGTTACTTTTATGAATAATTTAGATGATCTAAAATGGCTTATTGAGAAAGTATGAAATGTATTGGTCAGATGGAGCCTGATCCACAAAAGCCCTCACTGAGAGCAATTTAGCACAGCACCCTATCCTGCCAGGCCTGTATTTAAAGGAGAGGGAACACAATCATTTTGCTGGGAAAAACTAAAATTATCGGTCAATGAGATAATGAAAAATATTTAATTCTCAAAAAAATTACTGGCAGACTGTTTCATACCTTGCTACTAAATAGTTGTAACGACAGAAAAGGAAACTGGATCTAGAGCAACATGTAGGTATGAATATAATGTTGATGAATGAGAAATAAACTTCAATTTTACTAA